GCATCTACTAGCCGTTATTACTCAATAATAACTCACCTGGCTATAGTGCACCCTGAACGGCTTTAGATAGTCAGACTCTGTGCACGGAACCACTTCAATGTTGTTAATCTCTTCCATAGTTTACACTTGGAGCTTAGATTTGGAGGCTCACCGCTGTTGTCTGTCACCCGCACACTAACTGACAGTGAAGGAATGCCTACGGAAGCCGGGAAAGGACATGAGACTTGGCAGTAAGGGAACAACAAAGGGGGGGAGTGAAATGAATGGCGTTAAATTTATATAACAATATAAATATATGTGAAATAAAGAAGAAAAGAACAGTTTTATTGTTGCATCATCTTAGCCCCAGTTATCTTTAAATGATTAGTCTAAATTAACCTAAAAAGCCAAGGACAATGCAATATTGCACACTATACATTCCATGTCACTCACCAGTGCTGCCCATAATACTAGGATAAAGGATGTAGCTATCTTCTGATACCTGTTAGATGGCAAGACAATGTACTTTGTGCAAAGGGAAACGTGGTGGCTGATGACTGAAACCAATGAAAATGCAACAGCCTGCAGTTGTCAGCTTTTCAAAGCCAGCTACAGCAGTCAAACCATCTAAGGCTTCACTCACGCAGGCCTAGAGACTGTTCTGACAGCATCTGATTGCTAGGGAAAAATCTGTATTCTCTGACTGGTTGGCTCTCACAAGGTGACTGCGTTGCAAAAAAGGCTACTGTAACAAAAACCTCAAAAAACTCTTCCGTTCTCCTAACCCTGACTTGTACATTCTGTAACTCCATGCATACATCACCGCTGACAACCATATCCAGGATGTTAAATCTAGTCAGTCAAAACCACATGAGGTTCTACCCTATATTGACTGTTCATTTATCCCACCTAATAATACCACTTGGGTCAGTTCAGCACAGAACCCAAGGTTAACAGCGTTAAGTTAACAGCCTTTTGATCTGTGTGGATAGTTTTCCTCTGTGCTCGGTGAATTTTCCTTTTTTCATTACTCAGTCATGGATTTGAGCCCACTTTGATTGGCAGATGTTCTAAGACAGGCAGCTGTAGCCGATATGTGTCTGGAAGACAAACTATTACAGTACTGTTTATGTCTGTCCATCACCTGTACACACTTTTTTTCCTTTCTCTTTCTTTTGCTACTTGGGGGATTTTTCCTTATCTAAATCAAGACTGTGAACACAGAGGGTATTTTATGCTGCAAAGATTTCTGTAAAGTCTCTTGAGGCCTTGTGCCTTGTGATATTGGGCCATACAAATAAAAGTTACTTTATCCTGTGAAAGATCACAAGAGACCGAGTGCTATTATCGTAACACAGACACCAATTTATTGCTGTAAATAAACCTGCTGGCAACTTTTGACATGTGAGTAAAATGTGAGCACTTGAATTAAACCCATAAGACATGAAGATAGGCTATGTTATTATAAGTCTTCTACAATTTTACTTGAACAGGTTTGAGCTTGTTATAAAACCCTGATCAGTACTAACAGGCTTCAAATAGGGTAACCAGCTGCTGATTGGACCCATAGCTGTAGCTTTCTACCAGCTATGAGCGGCCATGCAAGCCAGGACATGGTGGTACTCTGCCTTTATTATAAAGCTGGCATTCCGTTAATTCGTTCCCCTTTGCATGCCTATTAGATGTTGTCTTCACGAGGGAAAGACTTTCTAAAAAAAGGGAAAAAAGGCAAAATATGCAGGAAAAAATATTTGGATTGTACCTATATATCTACAAAGATTAAGCTAAGAATTAAACAGAAGAAGGGTTATGCTGTGTGTCAGTCTGCAGTCATGGGTCACATAAAGGTGGCATAGCTATTACCAACAGTCTCAAATTAGTACTGCATTATTCACAGGCCGCAGCATGACTTATGTTATTGTCTGGCATTTTTTGCCAGAGGAAGCTGAAAGTAGTTCACTATTTTAATCTATCTAATGAAAGAGGGTTCCTGTACCTTCATATTTTTATACATGGTCCGTTCATCCATCTATCTTCTTCTCTTTATCCAATGCACGGTGGCAGGCGGGCTGAGCCTATCCTGGCTATCATGGGGCAAGAGGTGGTGCACAACCTGGAATGGTTGCAAATCTGTTCCTGGACTAACATAGAGAGACAGACAACTCTTTGTGTTCAAATATGGCCTTAAATATATTTCATGTACTAAAAATGGCATTGCATATTCTCTTTATGCAAGATTACGCCACTGATTAACACATACTGTAAAAAGTGCAAGGTTGATTTTCAAACTCCTATTAAATAGTCTTCACTGTCTTCATTGGTAAATATAAGCCTTTGAAATGTAACCGCAATGCCCTGAAAAAGTGAGAAAATTTACACTTTCGATTTGAAACATAAAAGAAAGGTTTGGTATTTTATGGGTTTCTGTTGTTCAGACTGGTGCATAAAGTGCTTTTTGAAAGTCATAGGAACTTTGAAGTCTTATTCATCCTTCTTAAAGTCATTCTGCTATATAACAACAGCCACAGGTCCATTTTGTGTGAACCAGAGGCCAGGTATGCTGTGGCATTTGGGCTACATCTGAACCACAATACTTGCATTGACCCATGACAAGCCTTCTTTACAACATCTGGACCACATCTGGCCCCCCTCAGCATTAGCAAGTGCAGTAAGTGAGTCATTAGTGCCAGAAAGTAACCCAGATTCAGCCAAAATGTGTCCGTTCTCTGGGCCTGGCTATATCTTTGACTGCTTGATTCACCAGAATGTTAAACTATTGCTTTTACAGCGCATTTAGGTACTTACTAGTCAATTTCCATGCTCCAGCCTTCTGCTTTGAGTTTAGCTATTGGAGTGACCCTTTTGCGGGATGGGGGGACTCTTAAAACCTCCACTCAACTTATTTTTGGATGAAACATGAAGACAAGTCCATCCTCCTCGCTGTGCTGAGTAATGAATAAGAGATAGGCTCTTTCTCACCAACGCTGCCTGTGAGGGCGAGGCAGCATGATGTCACCCTCTCACATCAATAACAGCCTTATAATGGAAAACAATCTGCACAGCTCCAATCTCGATGGGGCTGACTTCCTCCAACAAATGAGCACCAGTCCTCCGCCCACTACACAAGGGCAGGACGTAACACTTTTGCAAACTGATTTACATCTAAATAAATACAGGCCTAGACGAAACAATGTGCGGACCCAAAAGAGAAACCGGCGTCTCTCTGCTGGGCAAGTTCAATTTATATTGCCCAATCCGGCCAAGCTGCAGGGCACGATAAGACGGGAGGGACTGCTGAATTAAAGCATTGTACAGGAGTCACCGCCTCTGGTTTGCTGCCACACTTAGAAAAGTGAACACAAAGGGACTATAGCAAATGACAAAGGGGATAAAATGAGAGTGAAGTCTAAAAAAAGTAAAAAGCACAAAAGTCAACAACCAAGAGTAAGTGCAGCCAGTACTCAACAGTTGTAGAGGTTTCAAGGGAGATTGCAAAGTGACCATAGAGACACAATGTTATACACTTGCAGGGCAACATTGGAAATAATCCATATTTTTATGCCTCCATGCTGGAGAACACTGTTGTAGCAGGTGTTGTATTTTCAGGTCGTTCCTTCACCTGTTTGTATGATACATCTGTCTCACTGAAAGGTATATTCTTGGAGTACCTGAACATCCACGGGAACTCTGAAGTAATAATACTTAGGTGGACAAAAGCCAGGTTTAGGTGTTGTGTATGTGCCTAATTCTAGTTATCATTGTCAGCATGAAAATAGTGAAAAGACTAAAACCATCAATGTGTTAACTGATTTCTCACCAAGCTCATCATCTCTTCACCTGCTCTTATGGAGGACTTAAATTTTAAACATTACATAATTTCCTAATATTATCCTTTAAAATCTTACAGCGGCATGATTGTTGGTGGCAAAATATCAGAGTATGTCTGGAACTGCAGAACTACTTGGCTGTTCTCACATGATCAGCTCTTGGGTTTATAGAGAAAGGTCCACAATAAAAATATTCAGTTCTCTGGCAGGGTAACTAAAACTGGAAAATATGTTGCTGGTCTGACAAGTGTCAATTTCTGCTGTAATGTAAAAGCACAGCCTTGTATGATTGATTCAGGCTGCTGGTGGTGTGAGCTGGTTAGAAATTCCAATTTTTATATGTTTAAGATGGTCTCTGTAATTCCTGCAACTTTCATGGGAACCTAAAACGTTAAATACAACAAGTAGAAAGTTTATCAAAAAATTCAATGGTTTTTTTTTTTCAGTTGACATATACAGAACTACTTAAAAAGATATTTATCAGTGCCATATGAACAAAAGACTCCCCCCCCCCCCTTTCTTAAGTATATTTCCTTCTAGGAAGTGGAAATAAGGGAAGGAAAGAAAACTGAAGTTTGACAATACGCTGTTTTAAGAGGGTCGTTACATGTTTCAGTTAATAAGTACCACTTCACATGCTTATACTGATACTTTCAAGATAAATGGTCAATAGAAAAGACTATTTCACTTCATGTGAACTAACAATACAACAGTGTAAAAAGTCCATACATTTACAAAGAAAAGTCCTGTTTAGCCGTAAAAATATGTAATATTGTTAGATCATAAATGACCCAAAATCTTATCCTAATTTTTATTGCTAATGTTGCTGGATAACTAAATCTTCTCTCATATTTTGATTTTTTTTCTTTGTTTTTTTAATTGTTTTATATTTCTTTATATTTACTATTGTTTCTTCCTAAAAGGTGAACTTTAATGCCATCACCCAACGATACTACTTCCTCTCTGAGGCCTCATTTGAACATAACCTGCACAAGAGGCCTCCAAAAGTCTTATCAGCTCCTCAGCCAGAACCCGGGGCATCCATAACGTGTTAATTCCATTCTTCCAAGAACATGTGGGTACAGGAGCCTCTCAGTCATGACCAATTATTGTCTGCATGCGGATGATGCAGGCCAGACCTCCTTGGACTATGTACAACTCCAAACCTGGAGCCTGTTGAAGTCATCAAACCTGGTCCTTCTGTCTGTCCATGTAGCTCATCCTACTTAGTATATTTTTATTTTATGGCATATTGATTGAAAATAAAAGTTTGTTAAATTTATGTAGATATGATTCACACCCAATAATATGTAGAAAAAATAAACCAAAAAAATCAACACGACTTTGTGAAAGCGTTTAATTATTAATAAAATTGCGTTATTCAATGTTAAGAGTAGAACGAA